AAAGATACACCATTCGTGATTGTCTCGATCAAACCTGACGATTCTCCAGTAACTAAAATTCTCATTCGCTTGACCCAAACTGGGGTTCCCGCTTCCTGCCAAATCTTATCACAGCTTTGGATGAGCTGACATGCAAATGCCTCTTGCCGTAAATCAGCACCCGTCTTTACAATGACACTCAAGACATCCCAGTTCTTCATCCACCCATATGGCGATGACTTTCTAATTCGTTCTTTCTTGACGTTCCAGGCTTCTCCAAATGTCGCAGCGCTCGGATCATCTCTATCCCCTTTCCTCTGAACACCACCAGTCTTTTGATCGTTCTCCATTCGGGCTGCACCGGCTCCAACATTAATAACAGCATCCGAATCAGATGGTGATTCTGCCTCGATATCTTCCGGTGCAACATTTGCTGCTGCTGCTGCGTTCGCCTTTTCCATGATCATATCGAATGTTTGCGATTGTCCAATTTCTTCTGAATCGTAGCTTTGCTCCTCCAGACTTTGTATACTGGCTATGATTTTATGACGAATTGCATCGACCTCATGTCTGGGTCTCTTCCCGCTCGTCGAATTGAGCTGGGTGAGCATTTGCGTAGCGGTCCTGATATGTGTTGTAAGAGTAGAAAAGTCTGGTTGATCTTTTTCCCCTGATCTACCAACTCCAGGAAGTGTCATCGTTCTTTTTGGTGTAGGACTGCTAGATCTAGACGTTGATGTTCCGGATGTCCTGGGTGTTACGAAGCCGGATATGCTCGATTGAGTTGTTGTACCACTTGATATCTGTGCCGGCCGGGGAGTTGGTACATTCTCCTTGTAAGTTGGCGTCTGAGCATCCTCATCGTCATGATCTATTTCTTTGATTAATGGTGAGCTGCCCAAATCGCCATTGATTGGCTCAAAAACACTATCGGAGGTATTATCCGTACTTTTGATGCTGTTATTACTGTATGATCGTCCAGATTCTGAAAGGTCGAATCTTCGTCTCTTATGCGTTCCTTCCTCTGACACTAATCGGCTCAACAAACGGTCATTTTCTAGGGTTTCCGGATTGAAGGAGAAGTCATCTCGAAGTACCTCTACCATCAAAAGATATGGCACTTTCTCCGCACTATTCAATACTGTCGCTTCGGCTGGGTTCAAACGAACGATACGGTGATGTTTACTTTTGCTCGGAAGTCCATCCACCAGGGTAGCGGGACAAATGACTGGTATATCAACTTCTGCTGGTAAATCCTGCGCGATCAGAGCAAGTTCGGCACGTAATGCACTGAGACGTGCAGGTTTTGGGACAATAACTAGGCGATTTGATATATCCTCGAGAGCTCTGAGGAACTGGGTTTGAGAACGGAAATAATTTTGCCTTAATAGTTTAACTTTCTGTTTGTGAGTCAATGACACTGAAGTCAGGATTTTTCCACTGTGTGAATGTTGAGAGTATCTTTTATTGATGGGTTCAGTCAGCCTTGTTGGAAGACCAGCTGTCACAGGAGTTGCTGGTCTAGTAGGTATAATAGGCTTTCGTAGTTCTGGAAGAGATGCCGAGCTCTGATTTCGAGAATCCAATGCTTTCAGATCAAGATGAGAGGGTCTTATGTGTTCTAGAGGCACTTTTCGGTTAGATTTCGATGAGGTGGGTCGAGTTGAGGAGTTCGATCGAGCCAGATCCGGTGGGGCTTCAGAGGAAACAGCACTATTCGCACCACTACCACCAGGGGCGCTCGCATTTCTGGCAGCCTCTCTCCTCTGTTTTGTTCGAGTAGATCCCGGGGTCGTTGTATGACTTCGAACAATCTTTTGAGTCTGCATCTGACTGGTATCTGCGACCACATTTCCCGTACTTTGAGGTTTCCGCGCTTGTGAAATAGCCAACGGTCCAGCCCACTTTGGTAGAAATGGAACTGCAATACTCGCTAGAACAAAACTTGCCAGGACCGTAACAGGTAAAACATTTTCACTGATTTTCTTCGTTGGAGTTTCCGAAAGCCCGAATACGATATGCTGGACCTTATTGTATATCCGTCTACACGTCTTGAAGGCTTCAGATTGAGGATTCGCGGAAAGATCATGAAGGTATGTTTGAAACAACCAAAAACGTCTGCGATTTTAATTAGTGACCTGTCCCATCATGTATATCTGCCTTCAAATTACCAATAATGCGGCATTGACCGAGTCCTCGCACAAATCCAAAATAAACTCTTCCAAAGCCACAGACTCATTATTGACACTTATGATTAGGTGACATAGTTGCGGGAGGAAGAATTCAATTTCCTCATAACTGAATTGTCGCAACTTCGAGCAAAGGACATAGTGTATCCCGACATGGTCCGCATACCGTCTGCCAAGTCAAGCAATCAGTAAAGGACCTTGCGATGATTGGAAAGGGGTAAATGGCATACGATAGGTAGGCTACGGAGAGGAATGGATTCTGATTGAAAACATCGGACTCGATAAAGCGCTTTAACAAATCCCAAGACATTTGGTGACCTGGAACCAGCTCCTCAGTCTACCTAATTCTTTTTGATTCGGAGAAAATGGTATAAGAATCAAGGGGTTTTGAGGCGCAATGCCTCTAATAATCTCGGCATTAACAGATCTTAAGTATTGTAGTTATCATGACTTCATGGGCCATAAATTGAAAGTGGTAAAGGTAAATGTTAGTGAAAGATGGTTTTATGTGTGTATGTGCAGGAATCGATTGTTGATCAGTTCTTTTCGTCGTCCTAAGCTGCTTGACCGGTATCGATGTTATGCTTTTAAATAAGGTTCGTATCAAGAAATATAAAAGCGGCCACAAAAGTGGAGTGAAAGATTTCTAAGGACAGCGAGACAGCCTTGAAAAAAAAGTCGAGAATAGCCTCACCGGGGATTTCAGAAAATGTTCTGTTAATCCCGCCCGTGTAAGATAACCGAGGCTTATCCGCTTGTCTCAGCCTTTTCTTTCATTTTAAGTTAACATGACGGTTTTCACCTCGTTGTGCATTCTTTGAGTATCATTTATGTTGATATAAGATGACCAGTCATTCGTCTCAAATGAATGATCGGTACTCTTTAAACTTTCCACCCGGTTAAGGTTATTGAATGAGATTTGTCTGTACTAAAGAATCCGGCATTCTCATGGCTCTAACAGACCAGTTTCATCAATCGACTAGTTCATCCCAGAATACCATTCTTTTTGAAGAGCTAGACTCAAATGTCTCACGATTTCATGAAACATCTGCCTTGATGTTTTATCAATTTTGATGAGCAATAAGCTTAAGATGCAGAATGAAATCTACCTTCTGTAGATGCCCACACGAAAAACATCGATTAGACATTCTCCTTCGATCAAATATGGTGTCATGAGATATATACCTTGCTTCTCCGATATTGAAGAAAATATCTATTGAGGCCTTCGAGTATGCTTCTAGTGAAGACATTGATCGCAATACTGCATGAGGCCACAAACAACGGAGGAGCTTATCTTTCGAACGAGAGACTTTCCAGTCCAAAGGCTTTGCAGTCCAAGAGCGACTCTCCTCAGTCTGATCTACACTATCTAGTGATAAGTGTATTACGCACTTTGAGCTACTCAGGTCGAGAGTTGTTCCCATTCTGGATGCATCGGTGGCATTGACTAGGTATGAAAAGAAAGTTCTTTCCACCGGTGAATCCTTTCAACTACCATCGATCACAAAATAGCAATGCCGTTATACTGGTAAATGAAACATTGCCATCTTGATTGCGTAAAACGGTATAAATGTTTTACCATGGAACCTTACGCATTCAGATTGACACATAGCTGTTTAAAAGCCCACCCAAACTACAGATTTAACCACAATCTATTCCCACCTAAACTTCTTCCCACCAACACTATCCCCCAAAATCAATCTCATCCTCTAGATCACTATATCATGTCAAAACTGCCCTGTCAAGAAAAACAGAGAAAATAGTAAAGTTCAACAATCATCACATTTGCATCACTCTTCATCAACAACCACCTATTCTCTCCCATCTATTCACACAAACCCCTTCTTCCTCCAAAGTATCACCAATCAAAGCAAACCCTAAGTTTCGTATCTAGCGTTGGAAAGCCCATACATTTTAACCACTCCGATTGAATCTCTCAAAAATAGGTGTAGATACTTGAGGACCAAACAATCTTACCTTTCTACCCGAGAGGGCGTGTAAGTATAACACAATTGACAACTATTGCGGGCGGTGACCGGCGAGACAACCTGGTCGGGGGAGGCTGTAAAATACTAATCTCGAGTGCAGTCTGTTGGGAGTGATCCCACTGACCACATATATAGGCAAAATTCCGAGACATGCTATTGAAGTGATAGGAAATTTTAGAGATATATTGAGAACGAGGTCGTAAGTTCTAGGTATATATGAATATATTTTTTCCGCACTGATTAAATGAAATTTCATGTAACGATACTATACTGGAGGCAGCGGCTGCCTAAGGTTCGTCGGTTGGTAGTTATGGGTTAAGGCTTTATCACTGGTATTCACTTGAAAGTGAATTCGTTACTAGATCAAGTAGAATGTAGGTAAACTAATTGATAACTAAGTTGAGCACGAAGCTCCTAAACTATGAAACTACTCTGACTATATAATGATCGATAAAGGGAGCCCCCAGGAGCTTTCTGGCTCCTCAGGGCTCCTTATCACGTGATTACTTTTAGATCCCAGGACACTAATCCTAATGGCGAATCGTGACAGGGAGATCTCGTGAGGTAGTTGCCATACAGTTTTGTATGTAAGTTTCCTTGCTTTTCCGTAGGGTCAAAGCTCATACGGACAGGTTGACTGTTACCTTCGTAACACTTAAAAAAATAATAATTAAAATTAAAAAAATTCATTAAATTATTATTATTATATAATCTGTTAAAGTGAATGGTTCCTGCGTAGCACGTGCACAGGGCACTAGTCCTATTAGGACTAGATTGAGAAGCTCTCTGTAAGAGAGCTTCGCACTTCCGTAGAACTTAGAAGAGAGATTAACCTACTAGACCAATATTACCTCAGTTCTGCCCTATCAGCTTCCCACTATTCCCTGTGTGAGGTCATTCCTTTTAACATAATCTACTATAGTTTATTAAATTAAATCTTTTTGTTTAAGATTTTATATCACATCACATTAAATCACATCACTCACCTCATATCAACATTGTAAGATCTTATTATTAATAATCATTTATATTCTGATCTGATCTGCTCATTATATTCTGATGTAACCTAATCTGATTCTCTCATAGCACATCACATCATAACCCACCACTTAAAATCCTGCAATTCATAATCATAATCATGATCATATCCCATTTCCCATGTATCTATCTATCTTCCTATCTCCTCTTCTTCCCATCCGTCTTCCCCCACCGTTCATATATCTAGGTAGGTAGGTATCGATACCAAACAATATCAAAGACCCCTCTCCATTTCCTTCATACCCCAACCTATCCACAAACCCAAAGAGCCATCAGCACCACCAGATAGATTAGAAAGATCCCCTCTTCCACCTTTCACTTTCCTTCTTCCCCTAACAAAATATGAGAAACTTGAAAAACAAAAACTTGAAGGGAAGGGAAAAAAAAAAACTCCACCCAAATAAAACATCACTCAATCCAAAAGGAAAGAGTTATTTATTTACCCAAATGAAAGAGTCGAATCAAAAAATTTGCTTTGTTCGTTGTTTTCTCTGGAGATGTGATTGTTGTGTCGGGACCTTTTTTCGGGATGGAAAAGAGAGTGAGAGAGAGTGAGACTGAAAGAGCAAGCTTGAGTTCCTGGAAGTTATTCGAGAGATTTGGAGGAATCATCGAATTGAATCATCGACCAGAAAAGTGCTATCCATCCATCACACACAAAACATAAAGAAGCAATTCCCAAAGCAAATAAATGACCCAATAAAATCAATGAGAAAAGGTAATGCTCAGCAAAAAAACCAAAAACACAAATTAAACGTTACTTGTACGATCAACATGAGTATTCAATTCATGAGCACCCGCCTCCTTCTCCGCATGACCTTCCGGAACCACATCGGCCAACGTTTCATCCGTACCCTGTAAATCCTCCTCCACGGAAACGGTATCCTTAATTCTCAGAAAGATAACCGGAGCAGCGATGACGCAGGAAACCGAAAGAAGAACCCAATTGCTTATAAACTCATCATGGTAAGGAAGTTTTTGCCCATCTAATGCCCACATGACAGCACCACCAGCTGATTGGATACCCTTGTAAAAACCGACGTAGTTAGCTGATTTACGTCCAGAGTTAGAGAGAGCTCCCATGAACCAATATACGCATCCTTGCCATGCGGAATCGAAAAATCCATAGAAGATGTAGAGGAACATGGGACCAATGTATTTCTTTCCACCATCAGTAAAATCAACAGGAATATAGTCTCCATCCGGTTTTGCCTTGGTGCTTTCACGAGTATAGGTTCTTGCAAATGCGTATCCACCACCCCAAGTAATCATGGTGATAGTAAAAAGGAAAGCAAGAGCAGACTTGGCACGAACCGATCGACGAAAGTTACCCGCATCGAGACCGAAACCGAAGATGATTGCACCGAAAATTTGAGCCGTCCAGTATAAGACGTTGTTGAGAGCACGAGTGCGGATATTGAATACGGCAGCATTCATCCCATTTTGTTGATAGGTGTAAAACCAATTGGAAGCCCAGAACATGGGGAAGAGAAGAATGATGAATGGTTCTGAAACGATAGTATCGTAAAGACCAATGAATTCGGATTTCCAGGATGGGTGCTTCATAAGGACAACTTTGGTACCATCTGGTCGAACGATATCGTCGGCGTTACATAAGAAGAGAGCGAGACAAGCACCAAGAAACATGAGAATAATGAATGCGATATAGGTGCCATCGTTGACATTGGTACTATCCTTGCTGTGGACAGTTTGACCAAGTGGAATCTAAATTAATGTTAGCCTCCATCTTTGGTATTATGTGAGTTGCTAGAGTAGTAACTTCGCACCAAAATATGATGCGGAGATACCCAAACTTGAAAATAAAGCAAGATATGTATGAATTGTGTGGAAGAAGGTGAAGAAACAAGGAAACCTACCAAAGCACCAAGAACAGCACCGAAGTTAAAGACAGCCCAGAAAACACCAAAGTATTTTCCCTTATCAGCTTCATATGGATATGAAACCATGATAGTTCCTTGTGCAGTCCATAAAAGACCAGCACAAACACCTAGAAGTGCACCAGCGAAGATATTAAAGCCATCAACATGTGCGTGAAGAGAAGCGAGAAGAGAGATTGCATAAATGCAATATCCGATACCACCAAAAGCCAAACAAGCTTTCACACCCAATTTGTTGACGAAAGTTCCACCGAAGAAAGCGAAGACTGCAAAGGTGGAATATAGAGCGGTGTTCTAAGAAACATGATATTAGTAATAAACTCATGACAGCGAAGAGTTCAGAGTTAAAATCCATCGTCATGAATACCAAAAGAAAGGCAATCAAGTGAGAAGAAGATCGATAAAGGATGAATGAATGACTTACCATATGATCTGCAAGAGATGTGTCTGACCTTCCACCACCACCAAGGCCACCAAGCGCATTAAACATACCAGGGCAAAGGAAGCAAACGAATGCGACCATGGTAAGTTGAACACTAGGAGAAGCATACCAAAAGCTCGTACCAAGGACTCGATGATTCTTATGCTTCCAACCATTTTGATCAATAGCAGTAGTAGGGGTATCAGTGCGATATTCGACGTTGTCTTCTCCATGAACTGGGACAACCTCTGGAGAATGCGTGTGCGCAGTATCTTTTTCCATATTGAGTGATTGAATGGGAATTATGTTGAAGATTTAATGTGATGCAAAGTTGAGAATCCACCACTTAGCTGAGTAGTCGATCTTTTAATGTAAAGACTGTGGATAGAGGAGGGTAATTGTTGCTGTGTGATAGTTGAAGAGCTTGTGGAAGAAGTTCTTAAGTAGAAGATTTGTTGCGGTAAAAGATTTTGATGTCGTCGAGAGGAAAAGATTCACCCTTAGTGCTTCTTCAAATACTCGAGATACGGACCAATAACCTTGTTGACCCGTACACAAATGAAAGTGATACCAACGTATCAACCCGCTTCTCCAGACGTAAGCCGTTATTCCGATAGCTAGGTAAGATTGGAAACCAATCTACGAGTAATTTTAAGATTGATTTGTTTTTCACAGCCTCGAAAAGTGAATTGGAGGATGGATGATGTATATGGGAGATGCAAAATAAAATGAAGGCAGTGTTGGAGTGAAGTGAGGTAAGTGAGGTGAGGACCGAGGTGATGTCGTCGAGATATTATACTCCACCGACGTTTGAAGCACTAGCAACATACAACAAGCATCAGCATCAACGGCACAACATCTAGAGAGTACTTATAAGCTGTATCCTAAACCCTGCATGTCCCTGCACCACCTACCTAGGGATGCATCTCCAATTATTCTCCCCCATCTTTATAAAAAGATTAACCTTTAATTAGATAATAATACCTATATATCATCAGACTGTTCTTGATTTAGTAATAAATTTAAAGTAGACGGCCGTTGATACGTTATCTATCTTGGCCGCAAATTCATTTTCTTCAGAAAGAGTAATCTCATGCACGACTTATCGAAACCTCGGATTGTTTTAATTGGAGCTTTGGCTTCTCTGGCGTGGCGTTTTAGTAAGAAGTGGTTCAAATTAGTAAACTTCTCCGCACGATAATGGACATGGGGAAGTGAAGGGAGGGAAGGGGGAAATGATTTGATAGGTGAGCCATGTGAGTGGAGGGTGGAAACGTGAATCATGGGATTTGTTAATTGAGTGGATTTGATACGATGAAGAATCGATAGGATTGAATCATACGAAATCTGGAGAAGGTTTCATTTCTTTTTCATCTGCATACAGTAATTCGAAAAAGAGATGTTAAGATTGAGAAACTCAATTCAATATTCAGTATTCAATATGAGAATGCGGGGCAAAGAATTTTGAGTATTTGGTAAGGATGAGTCGGGATTTTTAGTAGGGATTGACCTGTTTTCAACCTTCGACTTCTTCTCCTTGGCTGCATTGATGCATCTGATTTCTGAGTTACGGAGTAAAGCCTCAACGGATGGTTGCATACCACTTTGATAGGGGTATAATAAGTTCATACTACCACGGTCCACCTATTGGAAGATGTCGATCATTTCTATGTAACGTATGATATTGGAAGGAGAGAGGAAGAAAGAGAAGAATCAACCAATTATCTTCAAGTCTTACTCAGTCAGAGGCTCAGAGGCAACTTACAATTGATAACTCTTGGGCGAATGTAGAGATAGAATCTTGGTTTTATTCTATTTATCTCAGTCCAATAAATATATTATCATCATCAGACATATTTAGTATCTGTTGACCGACCACAGCAAATCGACTCGAGAAAATGGAAATAGTGGGGTATTTTTATAATCCCTATCTCATATCTCAAAAATCATCATCACGATACCAAAACCCAACTGATTGGAATCAAGGACATGACATGCATGGTACTTATCTAGATTCTAGAAAGAACAATTGATAGAAACATCTCATTTACCCTATATATACTACCCATTTCAGAATTTCAATTAATCGGAATATAACTAGGTATTTATCTATCTATCCAATTCCAAAAAGATAAATACATCCATCTCATCACCGCTATCCAATAAACCTCCATTGACCAGATAAATACCAAAAAGATAAGTCCATCACCAACATCCAATCCAATCCCATCCCAAAAAACCAAATATCACACATATCACACACACACATACACACCGTCTAACCCTCATCAATATCCTCGTAGCACACCCAAAAATCCCACTCTCCGACCCTATCCCATTCCAAACATTCATTCCCTCACTTGTATCATCGTACATACATACCGTCGTTGCAGCCGATAAACAAATAATCTCCCTAGGTACCTAGTTACGTACCTACCAACCTCATGATTGCCATCTGGCAAATCTGTCCGTATCCGAAAGGGAAAAAAAATGACCAGCCGATTTGTGAACAGCTAGCTAGCTTCGTATAAGAAGGAAGGTTAGTTAACTGATGATTTGTTGATTTTTAATGTATGTTCCAGATCCTTGATAACCTTACGCAGTATGTATGCATGGCCGGAACCCGAGAATCTATCTATCTAATAAGCTAATAAGCATTTTCGTTTCGTTTCGTTGGGTTGGGTTTGGTTGGTAACCTTACAGGTAGGTAGGTACAGTAGGGCTTTTTGATATTCTTGGGATTTTTACGAGTATGAGGTGGTGATATTTATTAGCTCGGATCCAGCCTTCCCTTGCATTTTTGGGTCGATTTACACAAACGCTCTCTTCGTATCTTAAGTTCTTACTGCAGAAACGAGTACTAAACTTCTATCAATTCCTACCAATCTTTTCGAATTTCCTACTCCCTCCTCCAAACCTAATAATTTTACAACACACCTGACAAGGTAATAAATCATGAAGATGAGAATAAAAATTAACCATCCATTGTAACATCCATCCATCATAACATGAACCATTAGTCCTATTTGGACCTAGCGTCTCATCTACAAGTACCTACCTAGGTAGGTACCTACAGTATGTAAATCTCAAAACACAACTCCCAAATCATTTCATATCTCGGTAGATGAAATCTTTTATCTCCACCTCGCCGCTTCGCCTCTTCTCTGAGTCCTCTCCATAAATGATAAGGTTAAGGCACCGACTGCACCATTAGATTTTTGGGATGAGGTAACCTTAAGGTACCTATGGTAAGGTAATCCACAAAATATACGATAATCGGTACTTTAGTTTAGTTCATTATTTGATATGCTATGATACGATATGATTA